TGATTTTTCCTAGTATGAAACTCCTTAGCAGTGGGTGTTCACGACTCTTCAAACGATCAAGATTTCGAAGAAATTCAACAATCTTCACAACACCACAGTAAAAACAAACTTGACCATAGGGTATAATTAATTGGTGAAATCATCTCAATAAAAGTTAGATACTTCTTGTACTTGGTCATACTGAAGTAAATGAGCATGCTCATTAATTTTCTAAGAGATATTGATTTCTATAAATTACTCATTACTCAATACTGAGGGACAGATCAAAAACATAAAATATGACTTCTGCATTACATTTAGATCATTTTATACTACTATTAATTTTCCAAGTAGGTAATCTGGGAGTTGATAATTTCTTCGGGTTATTTCGCGAAGTATCATCAATAAAGAATACAAATTATCAACTGTTTTTAGATTTACACTATTATATTTCAACTTGGTGGCTCAACATCCCCATGCTTGCTATGGCATGTGAAATCTATCGGTTCAGATTTTGCGGGAGTGTGGACAGATACACTTGAGGAGTAAGAAGTTAAACCAAAGCATCTGTCCACTTCACTTTGATTTTCAATTGATCAGTATTTGTTGTTAATTTATAATTAGTGCCGACCTTTGAACATTATAAGTGTAAGAAAATGACAACTGCAATTTATAATTTGTATCGGAAACTGTCTTCAAAACAAACAGAGTAACATAAGCATAGATTGAGACAAAGTGATAATTTAAGACAGCCGGCAAGAAACTCTGAACCTAGGTTTCATACTACTTGACACTCATCACCAAGGTGTACCTGTAACTGATGGAATAGAGAATCAAAAAGGCTGTGATGAGCAACGAAATCTGTTTTTGGAAGCTTGTAAAATACTAATATTTCGTTTCTGTTATGTCCTATGGCCCATTAAATATTACATGACAAAATCGCCAATCAGAATATCGATTTCCATGACCTTGTCCCTGCGCTAGACTAACAAAGCGTCAATCAACACTAGCATTCTTGAGTCAGCTCTGAGTCCTCTGGTCCTCTGTATAGTAGCTTCTCGCCCAACCCAGACCGTTCAGTACCGAACACAATCTTAGCTTCCGCTATGTGAATCGTATATTTCAGACATACGTGGTTTGTATACAAGCAGACCAGACCGCATCTCACATAAAATTAAAAATTATAATCATACAAGATCAAGCTAGAAGTGTCTTTGAGTATAGAATACTGTAGCTAATACATTAGAGTTAAATTAAGGGTGATAAAGTGTATAACAATAGCCAATAGGTCACATGAAAGTTTATGATAAAGGGAATATGAATATATATAATTACCCAATGAGAATATATGTAATAATAGTCCATAAATAATTCCTAGTAATTACCATTAATATGTTTTTCGTTCGGGTATAACTATTTCGTCCCTAGTTATTTCTATAAACCGTAAGCTTTCGTTAGATGCATGATTCACAGCCATACCCCTTTCTATTTCCTAGTTACTGTAATTTAAACGTCATCTTTTGTACCCAGTTTTACTACATTAAACCTTAGTTGTATTTTTCTAATTGTTTATGGGTTGTGATCGTGTTAGTCATCTATTTATTCCCATACCTTTTTACATTAATCTGAGTCGGGAATCAGGACTAAATCGAGTAGTGTTCCAGTTGACTCGTCTTCTCTTCCACTCTCTCGCTTGTCAACCAATCAGGTGATAGAATGGCTTTCGCCCCTCTGCCCAACACCGTTAGTCTCAGTTGGGACTCACGCATTCCTAGTTCCAAGATTGAACCAGTTAGTCTTAACCTAGGTCGAGATGAATTCTCCCTCATATATTACTGGGTAGACAGATCAAGGATGTAACGGTATTCTTGAGGGAACTGATGGTCCCTAGTGGGTCCGACTCCATGTCACCCAGCTTCATGGTCGGAAATGTTACCACAAAGCTATTCGAGCACAAGGTGGGGGTGTCCTGTCAACTACCTCCAGCCAGCGTCTTACATCTCAACACAGTCCAAGGGATGTTGAGTCAACCAGAAAAGTGGCCACACTGCAATTTAGTAGATACAATCCAATCGGTGTTAAGAAGGACTTGACTTTGATTAAATTGATCACTACTCAGTAACTAGTCAATTGTAAGTATATGTATAAATTAAGTAGTCAATATCTATACAATCCCAAAACTGTTTTTATAACGTAATTATTGTTTTTTAATTTCCAAATAAAATTTAATTCATTAAATGGTAAATGTCTTTATTATGTTTGCTATTTTCCTTTGTACATTCGTTTGTTAGCAAGAATGAAATTGTTTCTTTTGTTTAGACATTTTGAAGAGAGGATAGAGAGAAATGTGAACAATTCGGAAAAGTAATAAACACCATTCATAAATTTAATGCATTATGGAATAAAACACAGCTTTTATTATTATTGTATCTAAGGTGTGAAAAGACTCGTACTACTTATATTAAGATGCCATTGTTATCATTATTATTATTGTTGTTGTTAAATTCGATCTATTTAATAATAAAATTCGAAAATATTTGTTAATTCTTTGTGTTTTTAGGTCTTTGGTAGTTATGGTATTTTGAAGTTCTATTTGATCTTAGTACGATTTACTTGACTATAAAATGGAAATGCAAGCAGTATCGTCAACTGTTTCTTCTTTTTACAAAGACTATGTGGAGTTTTCTGGATGACCAATGTAATTCTTTTACGAATAAACTTAAATGTCCACGAAAATATAAATAAGCTATATATATGTACATTTAGCTGATTCGTAACCAATAACCTCGGAATTGATGGAATTCTATTAATCAAGTTGTAACATGGTCATTTGTTCAAGTGACTCAATATTATTTAAACTATGTTGAGGTGCTTAGTGGATGAAGATAGCCGGTGGGAAATTTAATACCTAGGTTTTGTGGTATTTGGCACTCATCACAAAGTCATGCATGTAATATGGAGGGAGCTAATATTTCCTGTGAGACTCAAAACTACATCACCCAGCTTCACAGTCTTGGTTTAGGGTTTTCTACTGTCTACTTCTAACCACCTAATGAAGAATATATAAAAGTGAAAAACTGATGTGAACTGAAAAGCCAATTAAGATAACAAGTAAGCACTAAATAACTACATTTACAAAGTTCAGCCTTTAGTAAATTTTCGTCCAGCCTGGAGGTACCATGTACGCGGAGGAGTGTGAGGAGCAGGACATGAGAGAATTTGGAAGAGAAAAGAACAAGCGAAAACGAAAGCCTACGACTTAGTAAGCACTTCTCACGCGTATGCATTTAATAATGAGATTGATCGACAACAATCAGAAATAACAAGATAGTCCGGTTAGGTTTTGGATGCGCACTATTTATGGGATATATATCACGCTGTGACAACTATCTATTACTTTTCAGTTTCGAATAGCTGTTTCATTATGTTCGGTCTATAATGAAATCTCTAAAGCCCAGTAATCTTTACAAACCGCTTATATTAATACAATATTATTGATATAGGACAGTTAAACATCAAAAGAAGTCCTTACATTGTTACTGAAACGTTGATAAAATTAAAATACACATCATATATAACAAGTTCGGAACGTAGAATCACAGGTTTGTCTACAAAAACATTATTCTTATTTAATTTTATTTATTTATTGACGATGTTAAAGTTTCTCATTTTCTTGAAGAACTTTTAACGAAAATATTAGACTTATTTACAGTCAGTCGATTGCATCATATATATTTCAACTGTCAATATTTAAAGTTATAATGAGGTTGAATTCTACGCTGAAATTGAACTATTGCTTGCTATTGATCTCATAACATCATTTGAGGAATCACTAAAAATCATTTGTAAAGATTAATTACAAACGTAAAGGAAATTTATATCCAATCAGGTAAACTTATGATAAATGAACATACATGTAAATTTATTATACGAATAACAAAAGAATTAATATCAACTAGAAACAACTGGAAAAAATTGTCCAGGACAGAGTTGGATAGAGAAAGCTGGTGGACAACCTATGCTCCTCCATGAGAGGTAACAGGCGTAAGCAAGTAAGTAATAAAAGATCAGGATTATAATTAAAACCGACTTTAATCGATGTGGTATATATATAAACTTGGATTTTAAATTTAACGATATTGATTTTGCAAATCAGTTTACTCCTCATATTTCTGAACTAACAATTATTAACGTCTCTAAAACATTTATTTTAGACAATAAATTTGTTTTCACCGAGTTATCTGAGATACCTTAACAGTTCATGTTAAAATTAAAACATTTTCTGAGAAAAAAATAGAATTGAAAACTAGTCATCTAAAATGTATTCTTTTTATGCTTATCAAAAGACCAATCAGATTAACGGAAATAAATAAACATCTATAGGGGTATATTAATAGCATTTTTTGAATGGGTAAAATTTGATTGGTTCTAAAAATTGCTAAAATAACCAATCGAATATTGAAGCGTATTTTGTTTATTTTTGAGAATGATAATGTTAGAAATAATTATTTAACAAAACTTACGTGATTTTAGAACATGTAAGTCTATTCAACAATCAACCATAAACGTTCTTATTATTATCTTTTTCTTTTTAAAAGTAATATATTGGAAATGATGTTTCGAAAACGAACAATAAGTCACTCTAAACTTTATAGACTTACTGAAAATAATATACAAATGTATTTTTCATCTTCACTATGAAAGTTGCCTAACTAGTAAAGAATATTCTTTGTTTGAAAATGATATTTGAGCTAAATAACTGAAAATTTTGTTCTCAATTTTAAGAGTTTCGATAACAGAAAATAAAATGAGTAAAACAGCAAACTGTCTATTAGAAGTTTGCTTTTCCTCACTGATACAATAATCCTCAGTAGATGCTGTTTCATTTCCTTTAAACAAGTATAAATGATTTAGTGATAAACTTATCTAAACAATATTTTTATTTACTTTTTAGACTCTAACAAAATAAAATACTTTCAGAATTTTTGCAAATCTACGTTTTAACCAATAAAGAACAACAAATGTGGATACAAACATGGTGTGAAAATGCTTATCACCGTAGTAATCGAGAGAATCCTGATTCATCTAATGATCACTTCCATCATATGCAATCGATTCCATACAATTATCCTTCCACTCATGAAAATTTGATACAAAATGATAATCCTAATATAATCAATTCATTCTCTTATAATAATAATTTTATTAATACTAGACTACCAATATCATTTTTACAAATTCCAACTTCATGTAATCATGCGAACTCAACAATGATTGTGTCACATTATTCATCATCACCGGTTACTTTGGATTACTGTAATAATGAAAATACAAATAATATAATGAGTAACACACTAACGAATTATGTTACTCCAAATGAATCTATATCACTAAATCCTATTGGTAATGATAATAATAGTAGAAATATGAATAATATTGAAGATAATAATGATTATGTTGATATTCAGCATCAAGACGGCAACAAGATGAATGAAAGAGAAAATTTGCCTTTACCGAACCATGACCTTGTACAAGAGCATTCTGACCAGTGGGATCGAACGATAAAAAATCCATCTGAACAAATGAATAATATCATGACAAATACTATCAGAGTAAATAGTACAGAAAATAATCAATTTTATGAACAATTAAATCAACCAAATATAGATACAAAATCAGTTAATTTTAATAATTGTCTTTGTAACCAATCTGACATGTATGCGGAGAAAATTAATTCCAGTAAGTATATGAATAAACTTGAAATATTGATAATTCTTGTCAAATATGAATTGGTCATTATAAAGTTACTGTACTGATACGCCAATAATTAAAACAATCGAAGTCAATGATTAGGTCATGTACTCAAACCGTGTTTATTTCTTTTATTTACTTCAATTCAAACAGACCAAATAGTTATATTAGTCCGCATAATACAAAATGTATACATTAAAATCAAGTGCATAAATTTAAACTTGGTTATTAAGTGTATTAGTTTATTTAGGTTATTAGCAATTGTCACTAGCTTTTCATAGTAATCTACAATCCAATCATGATTGGATTTTATAAATAACTGAATTGTTAGAAAATATTTACTAGGTAACCAAAAGTAGACTAATTCAATTTAGTTAATAATAGACAATGTATTTTTGAAGATGAATTCCTTTACAATTCGTGAAGATCAGTTAAATATTTTAGTCCATTTGTACAGTTCAATTCTATGAATAACTATCACACCTTTTACATTTGGTTCATTTGACAAGTCACAGTTTCATACTTAAATATTGAGGGAAATCTATCAAAAAATATACTATAAGTAAACAGTAAATAGGTACTAAGGTGGTTGACTGAAGTCAAAAAAATAAGAACTGTTTAACTTTGATTTGTCGGCTAAAATAATATTGTATTGACCACCAGTTCTGTAGCTAGTTAGCAGTTCATATCAATAGATGGTTTGGCATAGATTTGCGTAGGCCTAACTTACAATATCAAATTAACTAGACAACATAGAGATAACAAGAGATAGAAATAATACAGCAGCAATGATCATAATGAAGACAATACATTAGGAATTGGGTTCAAAATGACGTAGTGGAAAGGTATGTATGGGGAATATTATAATTTAAGGTTGAGAGGAAGAAAGAATAAATGCCTCTCAGCCATATCATTCAAAGTCTCCAACCACAGTTGACGCGTTGACATAAACCATATAGTCAAAATCAATCAATCTGGGTCAGTTCCACAATGACCGATGCTAAGGTCTAAACCTTTGTTTTGTTTTTCGCACTTATTTCTGGGCTTTCAAGTATCAGTTATTGAGCTGGGTAGTTAGTAGGCCTGTAAACCACATGTCATAACTCCTGCGATCGATGAAGATTTACAGCTCCATCAATTGATTCCCCACCTTATTCTTCAACAATGTTCACTCGATCCTTTCACAAGAATACAAGTGGTGCTTCGAAGACACCTATTATAAAAAAACTGCAGCCTACACACGTCTTTTAACATCAACATCTGTCTTTGACAACCATAAAGTAATGCAGGTAGGCTACTGCTCAGTATATACGCAGTTTAGTAAATTTTATGTTGTATTCAGTATAGAAGGGAACAATTTCCAGGAATTCCAAACCAGGGAAACAACTGATGAAAACTAATTTTCAGCAAGTCTGAATTGAAAATTTTATTAATGTCACAAATCAATGCCTGATTTACATACAAGCATAGAGTCATTAAATTTATCAAAGGGACAAATTGCTTTAAACTATTGTTGTCATATTCGTCAATTAGTATAACTTTGTAGTACAAAAAACTCAGAATCTATTTATTACAATATCGCCAATATATTGTATCAATCTACACAAATATTGACTGTTGATAAAAGACTTGTCAGTAGATTTCGACTTCCACACGAATATACAAAATATTTGTAGTCCATCATCAGAAAGGCAATGGGTGACATGATTTCAAAGTTGGTCACAATGAAGTCAGTTGTATTTATTAGTTACCTTCGTTTAAATTTCATTTTATTCTATCGGAATTAGATTTAGTCTATTTACTAAACTTCTCACCTTGTTAATTTTCTGTCTTGTTAAAATGACGTAGGTTCATATTTAGTAATAATTATTGTAAGTTTACATACGTAAGTCCAATTCACATACAAATGCACGTGAGTCATTAATAAGATATTATTGTAACTAAATGATTATCAACTAAGTCTCACGAATAGAACCGTCTACAGATCTTGCAGCAAGGGCAGTTTACCTTTAGATTACTTTCTGGCCCAGAATCAAAGAATCCATTGATGGTATATTCGAAGTTAACCAGTTACAGTTTCACATCAGAACTCACCTAGAATGCTTCTAGAAACTACTTACTCATGAGTATATGATTATAATTAAGATAGAAAATTTATCTTAAATTTCATTTCATCTAAAGTGAATTCTTAATCCTTACGTACAGAACAACTATCCATTCTAGATAAAGTATACGCAATAAAAAACTAACCATTGAAAATAAATTTCAAACAATAAATTAAAATAAGCGTTTTTTCACAGTCTTGTATGTATTAAGCAAGTATTAAATTGACATTTATTATGGTGTAAACAATAATTCTTAGTTAATTCAATAATAATAATAGTGGTAGTATCTTATCTAAATCATATTTTCATAGTCTTTTTTTCGAAACTTAAATTTGAAAACGTTCATCTCTTGTTACTATGATATTACCAAAAATGTAAGTTGCTATTTAAGTCTTTATATTAAATTTGTTTAAATTATCGTGCATATATATATGACAGTGTTTGAAAGCATGAAAACATACATGTTCATGTTTATATTAGTTTTCTACAATAACCAAATAACTAATTCATCACTTATGATATTAACTAGTCGAATAGTAAACTGAAGAAGCCTTTGTAAATGTTTTGTTTACATAAGTAAACAATTATTTGACTATATTTGTTCACTTGTTCTTATATTTAAAAATGTGTACATATATACGTACATTCATACAAGCATTTATGGTATGGTCAATTAAAATTCTATTTTCAATGGCTGATAATATTTTATAGAATTATTAATATTTTTTTCGAAAATTCAAATCTTGTGTAGTTCTCTCCTGTTTGTAGTATGAATGAAATTTTTTTATTTGTTACTTAAATATGATCGACATATTTATTTTTTTTTACACTATTTTATATGTATATATTACTCGTTCCCCTCTTTTTATATTCTTCCACCCCTCCCTTATTATTGGTGTATGCATATATAATTCGAGTATATGGACATATGTAACACACCTGATGATATATTCCGATATACATAAATATTTATACAAACTCTTGAATCATCATTTATTTAAATATTGAACAAAGTATTTATTATTATCATAATAATTATAATGATTATTGATTTTTCTCGGTAAATTTTTGTAATTTAAACAAGTGAAATTCTGTCCACCGATCGTTCAATCTAACCACTTAAATTGTGTATTTAATACAAAGATTCACTTATTCACACAATATTAATGGATTAAAAAGTATGCGTTTATAAACATAATTATATTGATAATAATAATAATAATAATACATATCATAAATAAGCACTTAAATCAATGCATACACATTTATGATAATAATGAGGTCAAAAGTTTAACTGATTTAACTTAAGCATAGCAACTAAATTTTTTAATGAAATTCAAAGAATTTATTTTAGACAAGATTTAAATATATTTTTTTAAGTATAGAAAAATGAATTAAAATGTTTGTTTATCTGGGGAACTTATGGAAACCGTTTTCGGTACACATTATATATATCTTAGTTGCTGTACAATACTATCATGAATAATTAGACTGATCAGCTATTCCCATCGTATTCCTTTTGGAAAAATAGAGTAATTTATATCATTTATTAATCTCTATCAAAAACTTTTTTAATTGTCCCATATAAATATGTTCATTAATATTTAAAGTGATAAGTTTTAATGCATATCTAAAATGTTTCATATTGGTTAATAATTAACCGTTCATAGTTATGTACATACTTAGAGTATACCCTTAGTTGTCTAGTCAATATGTATGTTTATTATTGGATAAGTTATTAACGTAATTATCACCCTATCAATAGTCAACATGAATTTAATTTGCATAAAATAGTGCGATTATTATTATTTGTGATCTAGTAATCAATTTTAATCAGTACACAAAATTAATGGGCATGATTGAACTAAATTAAATAATACAAGGTAGAGCTGTATTTTTTTAAGACACAATGTTTACATCAGCTGAGACTGGTTAATTTGTTCTATATTTTTGTTATCTAGAGAAATCTTAACAGTAACAACTTGAATTTTCCCATTGATGTTTAGGACTGCAATTGATCAGTCTGTTATTGGCATGTATGCATACTGTGTGAGTTCCAGAGAGAACATCAACTCTGAGAGGCAGATGCATCCAATTGCTTAGTTCCAAATAGGACGAAACGCACGTCCTGGATTCCACCGCTAGCCACTATCCATCTTTGCTTAGTGACAATTATATTTTCTATTAAAATATTAACCAAGTATTAGGTTGTGTATTGAGTTTTTACTCACACATTTGTAAACAGGTTAGTGATACTAGTGGACTGATCAATTTGAATTACATGAAGTGGATGGAGTTCGAACCTACAATTAAATAATTAAGGGTCAAAATATTTTATTGCCAGAACATATATATATATATATATATATATATATATATATATATATATATATATATATATATATATCAGCTAGAACGTAGGAACAGGCACATATATGCATTGATCCAAGTCACCACACCTTGTTAGCACAACAAGATCAACACCAAACTCATAGAAGTAGTTACTTCAATGGTAGTAATATATAAAGAGAAGATTTTATATGAGAATAAAATGCAGGAAGAAAGAATTAGTTGGTAGAAAGAAAGGTATAAATCAATCTTAATCCCACGACTTAAGAGAAGACAAAGAGTGTATACACCCACGCCATTGTGATTGATTCTCAGCCATGTCACACAGAGTCTCCAACCACTAGTTACGATAGTCGCGTGGATCCCAACCAATTAGTCTGCATCTAGTAACATGGCTCAAACCAGAAGTTAATAACTTCAAGCACTGTTGCCATGTCTTGGTTTGACCGCCATTAACTTTCTTCCAACCATCCCCAACACTAGTCAGCATTGCACTTCGTAGTAATCGGTGTTCAGTCATACGTAACACGTGGC